TACAATTCAGCTAATAGAAATCTTTTGATAACTTGATATTATTGCTAGTTATAATAGGAAATGTAAAAAAATCTAAATTCAGCCGGCTAATATTACAATTCAGCTAATAAAAAGCTTTTAATAACGTGAAATAATTGCTACTTATAATAGAAAATTTGAAAACATCTAAATACAACGACATAGTATTACAAATTAGTTGATAGGGTACCATTTAATAAAGAAAAATAGTTATTTTTCTATAGTAAAATTTGAAAGAAAATCTGAACTTAACTGACCATTAATTTTTCTTGTTATTTAGTAGTACGTACGGTAAATGCCAAGTGGAACTCTGACTAAGGAAATATTCATATAACGTCAGCCATTCCGGCATATAAGAATTGCTTTTATTCTTCATCTTTTCTATCCTATACATAGACTGCCGGCCTCTTATCCTCTTGCATAGATGGTAATTATTTGTAATGGTGTAATTACAGCACACATTAAACACTAACAGTAAATGTAATGAAAGGAAAATAACATAGATTGAGCAAAAAGCACGTATTGTACAAATGCCATCATTATAATGTTATGAAGCAGCTGCAACCAGAAAAAAAGAGTTGAAAATTAATAAAAAGCAAATAGAAAATATTTATAAGAAAAAAAAAAAAAAAAAGACAGAAAAAATGCGAATTATATTAATATTAAGCAGAATAGACAAAAGCTATAAGTACCCATGAGCGTGTACCGGTCTTATCATTAAACGATATTCTCTTTGGACGCTAATAGTAGATAGTTATGAATATGATAATATAAAAATAATATAAAAAAAAAGTATATATTCCTTCCTCCGGCGCAAGACGTGGGATGACGGTTTGTGTTTCCGGTGACTCTTTACATTAATTTACAAGTTCTTACTAAGTTTACGTATGTTTTCTTGCATAAATCTTTCGTGACTTCCACTTTTTTTTTTTTTACTCAAGTAGTTTTCAATTACCTTTGACGAAAGTTCAACACCTCATTCGCACTGTCAGGCTTTAGAAATATGTTTTTTTTTTTTTTTTTTTCATAGTCGCTATTGCAGAGTTGGTGTACATTCATTTTGCCAAATCGTTTGCAGCACCCACAAAGGAAGTTTCAGAGGCGTTTTAAAATATTATATACTTTTGATCGGTATCAAATTCCGGATACATATAGGCGTGTCTATTTTTCTGCACCACCCGTCTGTGTGACGTCAACGGTCGGCCTCTTCGATAACGATTTTAGATTTGGCAAAGGCACTGTAAGTACTTGTAAGCTGGTATCAATCAAGGCTAAATCCATCGAAAGCCTCAGTTTTTTCGTTTCTGAAAGCGAAAGAACTCTGTTTTCTCGATCATTACTCAGAGACAATAATACAAAAATTTTATGGGGTTTCTTACAGTGTCTATACAAAAATCAAAAAAAATTTCAAACAAATCATCTATCGAAACTTCCCACACCTATATATATATATATATATATATATATATATATATATATATATATGCATTTATTTATTTTGATTAAGACAAAGGTGACAGGTAAAAAATTTTCGGTTGAAGTCGTATATAATTTTCTTAGGTACCTTTTTTTAGATAGGTTCAAAATGATTTTCTTTGACTTTACTGTTTATTAAGTACGCTTTCCTTTTGGTTTTTCTTTACTTTATTTGCTTTTATTGCTGTCGCTGCTCTCTCTCTCTCTCTCTCTCTCTCTCTCTATGAAGCACCTGCGTTACGTTTTTATCTTTTTTATTTTTTCACATTTTCTACCTTTCTTTCCATTTTCCTCACTAAGGAGCTCATATGGTTTTAACTTTTAAAATGATTTTCTCTTGTTTTTTCTTTCAACTCGGTATTCATATGTATATATATCATTGTGTTTCCATTGACTTTGGTGTGTGAAGGTAGATTAAATTTGAAATTAATGTTTGTTTTTCGGTTTTAAACATTTAACTCTTTTATAGCGCAGCAAAAAATAAGTTAATATTGCAGATATTTTTCTTACCTTCCTTCAGAAAAAGTCCAAAAACTTTAATTTGATTTTCGCCACCTACGCTATAACAAGAAAAACTGTTTCCTTTTGCTGGCTTGAAGAGGTTTTAACGAAAGAACTTTAATTGGCTTTTTAACTCATTAACAAAAAAAAAAAAAAAAAAAAAAAAAAATATATATATATATAAATATATATAAATAAGGATCTAGTTTTGCGGTTTTTGTGTAATTTGTAAGTTTTAAAATAGTTCGAAGTGTAAATTATAAGAATTGTTTACCAAAATGCTTAGACAATGTATTCAGCTGGCTTGTGACATGAGTTCAGTTAGGCAGGAAGGTTTAAAGGAAAAAACGATAGATTTGATAGCTTTTCGAGAGAAACTTTTCAGATCATTTGTTTGCAAATCACAATAAAGATCGCTTCTATTGTTAGCAGAAAATCAGTTATATAAGCCATTTTGATCGCAAAACTTCAACTTTATCTTGTCGAGATAATAGACTTGACTTATTCCGGGAATTGCTTAATTTGTTGTCTCTTATGTAGGGAAATTCGAATACTTTGATTTCGCAACTTTTTTTCCCAATGCAATTTTGGGGCAACTTCATGAAGCAACGAACAAAAATCGATGCCCAAATAATAAAAAAAAAAAAAAAACTTTTGAAGGCCAACTTCTCTGGATAGAGCGGAGGAGCTGCCTAATATTTTAGTTAATAGAAAAGCTAAAATACTCGAACAGTAAAGAAGAAGACAGAAAAGTTGTACATTTTCGATTACTTGTTAAGTCACTGCCTCCTCGGCGATGAATTAGCTGATGATCGCGTTATAGAGGTAATGAGAAATTAGAACATAAGTTGACAGTTTCGCATATCGATCATCGATACTTGAAGCCACCAAAAAAAAAAACTCATAGAAAGCAGATTAGGTTTACATAACTTGTTACGTTCGCGTCCTTGTCAAGTCTTTTTGAATTAAGCACGCTTTTTACACGAAATCACCTTTCGTTATGCTAATGAATTAATGAAAGATATGGACAAGATAAACCATTTTCCCCATAAAAATCGTATCTCTTCTTATTGCAACAAAGTCTAGTATTTAGCATTTTTTAATGAAAATTAGAGAATCTAGAGTAAAAATTTGACAAATAGACTAAACGTGACAAGGTTGGACTACACAAGAATCACTTTCTGCATCGATATAAGCTTGTCTGTCTACCGGTCTCTCTTCTTTCCTTGCGTTCAATCTACAGCGAGCAAAATTTTGAAATATTTTGACTAAATTCCTGACATCAAGATTTAATATTTTGACACAAAGACGAACTGTATTGCAAATGGTGCAGATCGGATTACTTTTTACACCAGATCCTATATAACGTCTTATTTTGATAAGCTGCCATATGAAGAAATAGTGTGACCTTGAGAATTTCGCGACAAAAATCGCTTAGTACTGGTATTTTGGCAATCAAAATTGGTGCAAAAATTTTGCATCGGATGACGCAATTTTTGGAATCTCTTCCCATATAAACGACCCAACGAAAACTGAATCTTTAGATGCTAAATAGGTCTAATTTTTAATATTTTTTGATCAGAAATTCTCTCAGTATAATAATTTAACATTAATGTTAAGTTTACTGTATTTGGACTACGTAGGTCTATTTTTGGGATTTCAACCCATAGTAGAGTTTTTATAAAAAATAAGCCTTTATATAAAATAATGGATTTCTTTTTCCCCAAACTAATATGACCGAAAGGTATAATTTTTAATATTTTGGATGGCATAGGTCTATTTTTTAGAACCGCATCAAATGTATGGAGGCGTTTATGAAACCAAGCCCTTCATGAAATGATTTTTAACCCGGACAGGGAATTTATCCCGATTTCGGGCTATCCTCGAAATCTCTGTCTCTCTCTCCAGTCATGTTTTTACAGATCAGCGGAACTGTAAAATTAAAGAATTGCGAAAATAGGCCAATAACTATTTTACCTCGAAACCTTGAGACTTTCTACCACCAGGCCATCCGCAAAATACCCAATAAAGGGCAAAATACCATAAATTATCTCGCCAAATATTTCAATTATTCAGCTGTGTGGCAAATATTTTTCCAACTACCTATATTGGAGTTTTAGTAACAAATGGAAAGAATTTATTAGTGATAATTGTAATGATCGTTCAATCTTGAAAGTCTTTTACTCTGGCGAGAGAAAAAGTAATAACGATAGCATTCATTGTTTGGGGCATATTAAGGCTGATAGACTCTTATATAGAGAAAGAAGTAATGTACGAAATTTATTTAAAAAGGAGAAATAATCATAAGTGAATGAAAATTATTTAGACACAATCCACCTGAATGGCCGAGTAGGCAAGAGTCTCGACTAGCAACTTAATTAATGGTCGTGGGTTCAAATCTCAAGTGCGATAGAGTTTTTCATATAGCCAAATGCCTTAGATGCTAGCGCTTGAAGAGAGAGTGCTTTTTACTCTTAGAATTTATTCTCTGGCTATATATATAATAATAGTAATAATAATATTTAAACAGGGAAAATTTTAGAGTAGAAACTTTGAACTTCCATCGTAGTAGAGGAAAAAAGAGTATCTTCTTTCAACTTGATAAGCTTGATGCGATCTTGGGTCTACAAAGGTTTTTTGATTAATTGATTTTAGAAAATTTTCACAAATTCTTTTCTTCTTTTTCTTTCGCTCCGTGCACTTGATGGTCTATGCTAAGAATGCATATTTTATACCTTCGACAGTGATAACAGTTTTCACAGTGATTTTCATTTAGACGCTATTAAAAATAATCGAACATACACACACGTATGTATAAATATATTTATATATATACGTACCTACCTGGTGCAGAGATAAACACATCCATATGAAGATAGAGTGCAGTATAGTAGATTGCTACATAACAATAGTATTTGTTTAACGCCTTGCAAAGCGCACGTAAAGATTATCTTCTTCACACACCTGGCGCCAAACA